TTTACCATCTGAAGACGATTAACTTTCGTCAAGCAGCATGGTTAAAGAAAAGGGCACGATGCCCGAAGCTGATTGAGTTCTAGAGCAAAAAAGTGGCAGCATTGGGTATGAAAGAGCGTGAAGGGTCGATTGCATCTTCCTAGACTGGCCGAAACCCTTTGATACTGGAAAAACGGTAGGTACAAATTCACACACACACACACACACACACACACACACACACACACACACACACACACACACACACACACACACACACGTACGTTAGAAGGAACTTTTTCAGTGTCAGAGTAGTTAACGGATGGAATGCATTAGGCAGTGATGTGGTGGAGGCTGACTCCATACACAGTTTCAAGTGTAGATATGATAGAGCCCAATAGGTTCAGGAATCTGTACACCAGTTGATTGACAGTTGAGGCGCGGGACCAAAGAGTCAAAGCTCTTTGACACACACACAATATAATATATATATATATATTATATATATATATAGATATATATATATATATATATATATATATATATATATAATATATATAGATATGTCGTACCTAGTAGCCAGAACGCACTTTTTAGCCTACTATGCAAGGCCCGATTTGCCTAATAAGCCAAGTTTTCCTGAATTAATATATTTTCTCATTTTTTTTTTTCTTATGAAATGATAAAGCTACCCATTTCATTATGTATGAGGTCAATTTTTTTTTATTTTAGTTAAAATTAACGTAGATATATGACCGAACCTAACCAACCCTACCTAACCTAACCTAACCTATCTTTATAGATTAGGTTAGGTTAGGTAGCCGAAAAAGTTAGGTTAGGTTAGGTTAGGTAGGTTAGGTAGTCGAAAACCAATTAATTCATAAAAACTTAGCTTATTAGGCAAATCGGGCCTTGCATAGTAGACTGAGAAGTGCGTTCTGGCTACTAGGTACGACATATATATATATACACCTAATGAAATTTCACTATATCAAGTGTCAAATCCAACTCCGGTGATCACAATATATTTATAAGTTAATAAAAACATATCATTGCTGGGACAAAAATAAAAACAGACTTTAAAACAGACCTGTGTTATTATTTATATAGAAGTTTGATAACAAAAAAAAAATTCCCGTTAAAAATTTCAGCTAGGATCGTGTAATTTATTAACGAATTTTCAGTTAAGTGCATTTATTTAATAAAAATTATTATAATAATTTTGAAGCAATAGCGCAGTGGAAACAGAGCTTAAGCGTTTGGGCAAAAATGTAGTGCCGGGGAAATTGGAACACTAAATCTATGTATTACATGTGTTGACTTGTTACAGGTGGTGGAGCCGCTACCACCAGTGGTGGAGCCGCTACCACCAGTGGTGGAGCCGCTGCCACCAGTGGTGGAGCCGCTGCCACCAGTGGTGGAGCCGCTACCACCAGTGGTGGAGCCGCTACCACCAGTGGTGGAGCCGCTGCCACCAGTGGTGGAGCCGCTACCACCAGTGGTGGAGCCGCTACCACCAGTGGTGGAGCCGCTGCCACCAGTGGTGGAGCCACTACCACCACTGGTATACCCACTTCCACCACTGGTATAACCACCACCACCACTGGTGGAGCCACTACCACCATCTACGAGGTACAGCGTTAAGTGTAAAGTATGCAGGTAGATCTACGAGATACATAAGTCAACTTTACTTTAAGTCTGTTCTACATTCTGTGCCCCTACAAGGAACCCTTATTCTGAGTGACGGATGTATCATACAACATCATTATATAGAAATTGTATTAAATTGTATTAAAAAGAACTGAACTTAGAAATTCATTGTTGATATACAGATGACTTGAAGGAGAACAACCGAAAAATACGACAAAATTGCTATATAAATATAAAATATATTTCGTATAGGCCGTGATGAGCTCCGGAGCTCAGCCTAATTGAGTAGTTGAGGTGTGGGCTAACGAACAAGGTCATTCGCGTCTAACGACAGGGTCATTCACGTAACTAGAAAGATATGGAGAATGCGTGTGTGGTGTGTATATATATATATATATATATATTATATATATATATATATATATATATATAATATATATATATATATATATATATATTATATATATTAAAGAGGAAGTTTTGTGGCGATATATAATAGAAATTATTTAAAATATATACAGCGGGCCCAGTTTCGATATTATGAAAAGACTCACCGGCTACATTCATCTTTACATATGTAAATGTATATTCTGTGGTGCAATGGACGGTGCCCAATGCAATTCACATCTCAAGAAAATTTCCCTCCAATTCATAGTTCCGGTATTCATAGAATGTTCCAATTTTTACACACATATCTTTGGCTAATATTACAAAATTAATATTTCATGAAATATCTCTGGCACTTGGCTGTTTTACATCTTTAGAACACAGAGGAAAATGGTATATGTGTTTTTTTATGTACCGACAAGTGCCTAGAGGATTGCTCTTTCAATTAGAATACGTGGCTCCACTGCAATCCAGATGCCTCGACAAAAATATTCTAATTCATTTAGCTTGCTGACTGCAGTGGTAAGTAGTTGCTGGCTCGCCTGGGTATATTGTGGTAGTGGTGGTGGTGGTTGTAGGAGTGGTGGTAGTGGTGGTGGTGGTGGTGGTGGTGGTAGTGGTGGTGGTTGTAGTGGTGGTGGTGGTTGTTGGAGTGGTGGTAGTGGTTGTAGGAGTGGTGGTAGGAGTGGTGGTAGTGCTGGTGGTGGTAGTGGTGGTAATGGTGGTGCTTGGGGTGGTGGTGGTTGTGGTAGTGTTAGCAACTCCAAGACTGCACCAAGGACTCCTAGCAACTCCAAGACTGCACCAAGGACTCCTAGCAACTCCAAGACTGCTACAAGGACTCCTAGCAACTCCAAGACTGCTACAAGGTCTCCTAGCAACAACTCCAAGACTAGCTGCTACAAGGTCTCCTAGCAACTCCAAGACTGCACCAAGGACTCCTAGCAACTCCAAGACTGCTACAAGGACTCCTAGCAACTCCAAGACTGCTACAAGGACTCCTAGCAACTCCAAGACTGCTACAAGGACTCCTAGCAACTCCAAGACTGCACCAAGGACTCCTAGCAACTCCAAGACTGCTACAAGGACTCCTAGCAACTCCAAGACTGCTACAAGGACTCCTAGCAACTCCAAGACTGCTACAAGGTCTCCTAGCAACTCCAAGACTGCTACAAGGACTCCTAGCAACTCCAAGACTGCTACAAGGACTCCTAGCAACTCCAAGACTGCTACAAGGACTCCTAGCAACTCCAAGACTGCACCAAGGACTCCTAGCAACTCCAAGACTACAACAAGGACTCCTAGCAACTCCTAGACTGTAACACGGACTCCTAGCAACTCCAAGACTACAACAAGGACTCCTAGCAACTCCTAGACTGTAACACGGACTCCTAGCAACTCCAGGACTACAACAAGGACTCCTAGCAACTCCTAGACTGTAACACGGACTCCTAGCAACTCCAAGACTGCTACAAGGACTCCTAGCAACTCCTAGACTGTAACACGGACTCTTAGCAACTCCCCCCACATTTAAGCACAAACAACGACTTCACTATCCACCCCCAATCATCCGAAATCCCTACGTATGATCATCATGCGAAAACAAAGTCATGCTGAATCACCACGAACACACTAATAGCCTTCAAGCAGTAGTTACGTCGAATGGCTTCGTACCAGAATAAGGCCGAAGTATCTTGCGAATCTTACGAGTTCAAATTGCATTTGCACGCGCGTGCACTCTAATAATCTTCTAAGTATTTAATCCGTAGCTAATTACGAACGAGTTCAGTATTATGTGTATAATGAGGAAAGTATTTTATAAATAAAAAGATTTAATGGCTGATAATTTTACTACTAAATCTAAATTAATCCAATTATTGCCAGACTTTTCCTAATTTTCTCTCTAAATATCCAGTCGCTATATTTGCTGCAAGCCGATGAGTTGTGATGAGTTGTGATGAGTTGTGATGAGTTGTTTTGAGGTAAATCCCTTCTCTCCCTCACTACTCACAACTTCCCTCCCTCTCTCTCCCTCACAACAGAACGGCACCGCTCCTGTGTTAGTAAGTCCACTACGGGCTCACCATAGCCCGTGCTACTTGCCCCGCTCCTGTGCCAGGTAAGTCCACTACAGGATCACCATAGCCCGTGCTACTTGCCCCGCTCCTGTGCCAGGTAAGTCCACTACAGGATCACCATAGCCCGTGCTACTTGCCCCGCTCCTGTGCCAGGTAAGTCCACTACGGGCTCACCATAGCCCGTGCTACTTGCCCCGCTCCTGTGCCAGTTAAGTCCACTACAGGATCACCATAGCCCGTGCTACTTGCCCCGCTCCTGTGCCAGGTAAGACCACTACGGGCTCACCATAGCCCGTGCTACTTGCCCCGCTCCTGTGCCAGGTAAGTCCACTACGGGCTCACCATAGCCCGTGCTACTTGCCCCGCTCCTGTGCCAGGTAAGTCCACTACGGGCTCACCATAGCCCGTGCTACTTGCCCCGCTCCTGTGCCAGGCAAGTCCACTACGGGCTCACCATAGCCCGTGCTACTTGCCCCGCTCCTGTGCCAGGTAAGTCCACTACGGGCTCACCATAGCCCGTGCTACTTGCCCCATCCCTTCCCCTCTCAGTGTAAGACAACTGTCTCTTCCCTCCCTTTCCTTCCCCTCTCAGTGTAGAACACCTGTTCCATCCATATTCCTTCCCTTTACTCCATTAGTAAGAATCTCTCCCTTCAACTCGACAGTTGGCAAATTCCTATCCTATCAACCCATTTTCTGTGTCTGTCGTTTTCTAGTTATCCTTCTAATTCTAATATTTATCATTCCTCTCCTCCCTTTAGCCTATTTAACCCATTACCCATTCAATTCCTACCATTTCTTCATACTTCCTTACCTTGGGGTTACCTTGAGGTGCTTCCGGGGCTTAGCGTCCCCGCGGCCCGGTCCTCGACCAGGCCTCCTGGGGTCAGATTCACGAAAGCAGTTACGCAGGCACTTACGAACCTGTACATCTTTTCTCAATCTTTGGCGGCTTTGTTTGCAATTATTAAACAGTTAATGAGCTCCGAAGCACCAGGAGGCTGTTTATAACAATAACAACAGTTGATTGGCAAGTTTTCATGCTTGTAAACTGTTTAATAAATATAACCAAAGCCGTCAAAGATTGAGGAAAGATGTACACGTTCGTAAGTGCTTGCGTAAGTGCTTTCATGAATCTGGCCCCTGGTCTACTATACCCCCCCCTTTTTAACACCATCCCCATAAACCCCCCCTATCCAATCCCCTCGTGTGTGGATTCGCCAACCCATTTTCTTTGGAGTCCGGCGTATGGGATCCACAACTGATCATATTAATGGCCACCATCTTATTACGAGAGACGCGTCCCGATCCCCGGCCACGGCTCCGGCTAGAACTTCCCTCTCGGTGTTTACCAGCGGTAATCCCACTGCCTTCACGCATCTCAATCCTCTGGCCGAGGATAGGTTTCAATTCCCTCTAAACATTCACCACTTATACCGCGCAATTAACGTTATATAAACCATTTCTTTTCGCTCTGTTCGCTGTGAGGGCTGAACCACACATGGAGGTATTGGATCTAAATGTAAATTCCGCGTATTCGGCTGCCAGCTAGAACACAACTCCATTAAAACTCTTTTTACCCGAATTCGGCCATATTTAAGATTCTTTACAATAGAGGACGCCAATCGATACCAGCCGTCGAAGCCTCTGGATGCCAGAGGCACTTTATAGTGCCTCTACAACACGCCTGAACTACCCTTAAGTGACCTGACCAAGCCGTCGCCGAACACCCGAACGAGCTGGATTGTTCATCTGAGGAAAAGACTGAAGTTTTCCTTAAGTTTCCTGAAGTGAAGACTGAAGTTTGAAAAGAAGTTTTCCTGATGGAAATGATAATTACATGTGAAGATCTAAAATTTAAATGAAGAACAACTTTTCAAGTTTCATCTGGAGTGTGGAATTACTACATTAAGAGAAGATGCTCTTCTTCCCAAGGGATAAAGAGTTCTGGTTCTCACACGGGCTACGAGTACTCACACGGGCGACGAGTACTCACACGGGCTACGAGTACTCACACGGGCGACGAGTACTCACACGGGCTACGAGTACTCACACGGGCTACGAGTACTCACACGGGCTACGAGTACTCACACGGGCTACGAGTACTCACACGGGCTACGAGTACTCACACGGGCGACGAGTACTCACACGGGCTACGAGTACTCACACGGGCTACGAGTACTCACACGGGCGACGAGTACTCACACGGCTACGAGTACTCACACGGGCGACGAGTACTCACACGGGCTACGAGTACTCACACGGGCTACGAGTACTCACACGGGCTACGAGTACTCACAACGACTAAGTACTCACAAGGACTAAGTACTCACAAGCACTAAGAGTACTCACGAGCACTAAGAGTACTCACGAGCACTAAGAGTACTCACGAGCACTAAGAGTACTCACGAGCACTAAGAGTACTCACGAGCACTAAGAGTACTCACGAGCACTAAGAGTACTCACAAGCACTAAGAGTACTCACGAGCACTAAGAGTACTCACGAGCACTAAGAGTACTCACAAGCACTAAGAGTACTCACGAGCACTAAGAGTACTCACGAGCACTAAGAGTACTCACAAGCACTAAGAGTACTCACAAGCACTAGGAGTACTCACAAGCACTAAGAGTACTCACATCATAACGGGTCTTATTTCTGCTTCTTATCTTGATTTGCCAGTCTGTAAACCCATGGAGACACCTGCTAGTATACCGTAGTTTACAGTGTACAGTGTTTCCCCTTCCCCTAGTCCACCTTTTCCTTCGTCTTAACTAGATCGAGGAGTCTACTCCTTCTACTCTAACTTCTACTCGAGGAGTAGAACAACTCCTGAAACCCTATTCAGGTACAGTCCAGGTGTAATCTCCGTCACCCCTTATCTCCCCCTTACCCTTATCGCCTCATCTTCCCTTACCTTAGTAAGGCAAGCTACCTTAATTCTTCGCCTTGTACATTAAAGAAAATGTTTACATGGAGGGAAAAATTATATGAGTTTCTCTAAATCGATTATAGAAACAAGACATTACTATAAAAATGATATAAAGGAACTTTGTCACAATAGCATCGCTATATTCTCCAAGGAGAAAAATGGTCGACGATTTCTAAAGCCAAATTCTTGAGACAAAAGTTGACACGAAAATGCAGCTGGTACAGCAGGGCAAAACTAGGGCCACCAATCGTAAAAAAGCTCCTACTGGAGCCGCATACTGATTGGCTGACAGCACCGCCCCGTCTAGACCACGCGTTCGACTGGCCGATCCTGGAATGTGATTGGGTGGTTTTTGTTGACCAATAGGAAGACAATGGACTGGTAGTGTGGGTGTTGGAGGGTAGGTGACCCCAGGGTCAGCTGCGGGCAGTGGGAAAATGCTGCCCAACCGCTGACCGCAGTTGGGCATTGTCTCCTGCGCATTGTCAGCGGGCAGCTGCGCCTTTTAGGAAGTTCAGATCTCCCCTATAGAGCGCAAGTTTAATTTATATTCCCCTGTAAGTGTGGGGTGGTCAGAGTACAATCCCCCGCTCCTGTGCCAGCTAAGTCCACTACGGGATCGCCATAGCCCGTGCTACTTGCCCCGCTCCTGTGCCAGGTAAGTCCACTACGGGATCCATATACTTGCTGTTTCTGTGCCGTAAGCTACGGGCGCCATAGCCCCCTTGCCCCTGTGCCAGGTAAGTCCACTACGGGATCGCCATAGCCCGTGCTACTTGCTGTTTCTGTGCCAGGTACGTATACTACGGGATCGCCAAGGCAGATCTGGTCGAGGACCGGGCCGCGGGGACGCTTAACCCCGAAATCATCTCAAGATAACCTCAAGATAACCTACAATCTCAGGTTGTAGTGCATACACAAATATCGATAAGCAACAGTCATTCATAATATATAATTACACAAATTGACGTCAGGAACAGAATCGATAATAAAAATATATGTGAATGACCTACACATATGTGAATGACCTACACATATGTGAATGACCTACACATATGTGAATGACCTACACATATGTGAATGACCTACACATATGTGAATGACCTACACATATGTGAATGACCTAGGCATATGTGAATGACCTACACATATGTGAATGACCTACACATATGTGAATGACCTACACATATGTGAATGACCTACACATATGTGAATGACCTACCACATGTATGCCTACACATGAATGACCTACACATATGTAATGAACTTTTATGACATGAATCAGCATATATGTAACTTTTAATACA